TTATTATTATTATTATTATTATAATAATAATAATAATAATAACAACAACAATCATCATCATCATCATCATCACCATCACTGTTGTCAGTTAAGTCTTGTGTAGCAAAACATTAGTGCAGAGGTCTTCAAACTTGGCAACTTTAAGACTTGTGGACTTCAACTCCCAGAATTCAGGTGACTGGAGAATTCTGGGAGTTGAAGTCCACAAGTCTTAAAGTTGTCAAGTTTGAAGATCTCTGCATTAAGGTTAGCAACGAGCCAACACCAGCAAGAGAGCAAAAACGTTAGGACCATTTTGAGGACTCTCAAAATTTCCCAGTCAGCATGGCTGTTGCTGAGAACTATGAGAACTAAACTCCAAATATCTATAGGGAACAGAACTTGGGTTATCCTACTCTATACAATGTGTAGTTTTAAAATATTACAGTATTAATTCCTATATCACTAATACCCAGAAGTACAATTTAGCTCTAAAAGATATCAACAACACACACTCAAGTCTCAAAATAATCCACTGCACTGGTGTTCCATTCTTTTCTAAGACTTCTTTTTAAATCTGTGTTTTCTTACCCACCCTATTACACTCCATTTCTACGACAAAATAATTTTCCTTCTCCATTGAGAAGGCTACACTGCCTAATCTATTATGCATGGATAAATTTATCATGCCAAGCTTCTGCCACTTGATCAGAATAAACATACCGAATTACAATACTGTTATTTAAATGCTGACTTTCCTGTTAGTATAGTAGTCAGTTAAAATGAATATCATTTTTTCCTATACAAACCCAACTGGACAAAGCAAGGTGCCTAACACTGTCTACCATCAACTTAATAGAAGCAATCATTTGCTTTCCCTTTACTGTAATTCTATTACATTGGGATTGCATTGAAGCCAAAACATGTCTTACTCAAAAATAAATTCCATGAATGAGACTTATTCATTCCCAGAATAGTATATAAAGAACTAGCCCTATATTAGATTATTGAGGCTTAATATAGATAACCTCTAGGGACATTTTTATTTAGTTGTCTTAGAGCAGTAGGAGGGCTAGGTACACACATCAATTTGAGTGGCTACTTCTTCAAAAGGCTTCCAATGGAGAATTGGCAACTTGGGAGTTTTCCTAGAGTCACAGTTCCTGACTGAACAACAGGTGGAATCTGTGACAGCACCAGCCCAGATTCAGTTGCTAGTCTAGTTGTGCATTTACCAGAACAAAAATTTTTGAAGGTAGCCAAACCTTGTCTATGTTCATCCTCCTGAACATGGATTTCTGTAATTCACTTTTGCAGGCTGCTAATTTTAAAAACCCATCTGCAGATGCAAAATATCCCGATTGGAGAATTGTGATATTGTCACATGATACCACATTTCAAAGAAGTTGATTAAATCAGGTTATTACCCATATGGCTTGGAACTGGAGTATCTCTCAGACCATCACCCACCCAGAAAAAGCAATTTCTGCTTGCCTAACTTGGGTGAATACACAGTACTTTCTCCCACTTATCAAGAGGTGAATTGCAAAGGGTGTTCTCTGTAGGGCATCCTCTCCTACAGAATAACCAATCCAAGGCAAAGGCATATATTTTATATGTTATAGATTATACCTTTCATGATATTCTGGACATCTGTACAAAACCATTTTTTGGAGGGCCCTCGTGCCTTTGGTGAAATTTTAGTCCCCTGGCTTTGGCACAATATTTTCATTATTTTGTGATGTCAATCTCTCACTATATTAATGTATTACCACTTTTATTTGTACTCAGCTTACAGCCTTCAGGGTTAAGTAGCATATCACAATTACATACACACACACACACACACACACATACATACATACACACACACACACACACACACACACACACACACACTTCCTATACAGGGAGCTCTCTTTGTGCTATTGGTCAATCTCATTTAGTAGCTAGGTTCAAACAGTACATGAGCTATGATTTATTGAATAAAACATATAATTGTTTGTCAAAGCTACGCAAACTCTATTATGACTTAGCACGTTGTCTGCATCAGGACATCACGATCTTATTCTAGCTGAGTGCGTCCCTCCTGATTCCAGACAAGAGTCTTCAATATGCAAGAGTTCAGACTGGGAAGTTTTTATGCAAAGCGTCACACTATGACCCTGAACAACAGTGAGAAAATATTGACAAGCAAACATATCCTGCAGCATTGTGTCTATTCTTAGTTCACTGCAGAATGATT